TCCCATAGTGGGACCGGGGAATGTACGGCCCGAGATGCCTATTAAACTTAGAGCTGTGTGCGCGTGTCTGGGGGGGAAAAGTCCTTAGTAAATCCAGATTAGAACTGGTCTGATAAATGCTGAGGTGGGTGTGTGTGAACATGGGTTGATTAACATTTGAAGCACAGATTCCCCATCATGCAGCGCTCTCCTGCTTCTCTGGTCCCAGAATTCACTGCAGTCTCTGCTTCAGGCTTTCTGTTTTCCATCTCTCATGTAAATGAATGGTCATCTGGTTCCATCTCGGATGTAAATGAGACCTAGGGCAGTTGATTCACTCTTGTCACCCTTATCTGGTGAGGGTCTTAGGTGCGTCTCTCACTGCATCTTAATCAGTTTCATTTAGGTAGAGGGGGGGAGGGGTGGTGAGTCCTTTGTGAGTCAGACAGACTGCATCCTGTGCCCCGGTTGCCCAAGAACACAGAGCTGAGATGTAACAACATCCCTGACTAAGCCATCCTAAGCAAGTGGCTGTCTAATGCTCTTGAAAACATCCAATAATGGAGTTTCCGTGATTTCTCCAAGTAGCCTCTTCCAGTGCTTCACCACTCTCATAGTCAGAAAGATCCACCTAATCTCCAACCTAAATTTCCACTGCTGCAGCTTGAGGCCATTTCTCCTAGTCCTGTCCCCTACAGCCACAGAGGAAAGTCCATCTTCATCCTTTCTGTAATTGCTCTTCAGGTATGTGAAGATTGTTATTGAATCCCCCATCAGTCTTCTCTTTTCAAGACTAAATAATTCTAGTTTTCTCAGGCTTTCCTAGTAAGTCATGCCTCCCAGGCCCCTAATCATTAACTATCCATATCCTTCTTATAGTGTGGGGCCCAAAACTGGACACAGTATTCCAGGTGAGGCCTCACAAGTGTCATATAGAATGAAAGAATCACTTCCCTTGATTTGCAATTGACACTCATATAGAAAGAACCCACTGTGCTGTTGTTTTTTTTTGCAGCAAGAGCACACTGTTGGCTCATATTCAGCTTATGGCGTACTGTAACCCCCATGTCCTATCCCATCAAGTGAAAGAGAAGTGTGAAGGTGGGTGGGGCAAACAGCTCAGGCTTTGTCAAATGAACTTTGGGTGTAGTGTCAATTAAAGACTTGGTTGGAGAATCTCATAACATGAGATGATTTCTTGAAAGGATCAGAAAATATTTTCCCTGCCTAAAACTCTTCCTATATGGAGTACAGAACAAATGACTTGATGCAATTTGGGAAGGTTAAAACTTCCTTTGAGACTTTGGGTTGAAACATTTGCCCCTCAGGATACAGGCCTTCCAGTGATAGTAGGATTGATGTATGATGAGGGTGAGGTCCATATTTAGAATTGTGTGGAAAACTTGCAATGGGCTGGTGGCTTTTTGTTTTACTTTGTTTTGTTTTTAACCATTTTATTAGCCACATTGAGTCATTTGCACATCGTTCACTCACAGCTTTATTTAAAAATTGCCTTTGTACCAATAAATTATTAATTGATTGTAGAATTTATACTGTCATACGTGATATTGTCACAGTATCTCAATTAAAATAACCCTAAAATCTAAACTTTTTCAAGATTGTTTCTATTGTAGTTTGCAGATTATACAGTAATTGAAGAAAAAAATGTTTTAATCCCTCTTTGTACAACTTCTTTTTCTAAATATTTTCAGTATTCTGCAGGATGGAGTTAAAAGAGGAGAGAAAGTTGTCATTAAATGTGATGATCGGGAAAATAGTATTTTAGTTTTATATTTTCTTCACTTACTTGTTAGAAGAGGGCTTCCAGAAGATTTTTCATACTTCTATTACTGTCATCATCTGGAGTAGCCCTAGGCAAAGGCTAAATAATCATCTGTTTAAGCAAACACATCTATGCAAGAACGAGCAGAATAGGGCTACCTTGACCATTTGCAAATTAGCCAGCCCCAAGCTACTTTAGAGATTCTGCTCCACTGGCTGCCAACTAAATGAATATTTTCTTTGTCTTCTCTCAGTCATGAGCAATGGTATGTCTTTGGGTATCATATACTCAAGAATCTTTTGTAATGCTGTGATACCCACTGCATAGCATTGTGAATTTAATAACTTTAACAGTACCTGTTATATGTGGCTGAGAAGAAGCTGACACATTCTGAGAAGGAAATGACAGAGAAGTTTCTGATAAGAGACTTACCAGTCAACTGGTAAGACAATATGCGTGAGGAGGAATTAATAAGAAAGACTTTTTTCCCATGTATAAGATAAAATTATATGGAAGAAAATTGTCTTTAGTGTTATATTACCAAATACCCTCTTTAAAATATTTCATAAATGTTGAAGTTCTGACATATTAAGGAGATCCATATATCTAAAAACCATGTATAGTTCTTCCTAACCCAAAGAAAAGAATATGTTGATTATTAAATTAGTATACTAAGTGTTCATTATATTCTTCTTAGCTGTGTTAAACTATTCATGAACTGTGAGTAAATTTTATGAATGACATGCTGTTCTTGAATTGTTCCATTTTTATGTTTAATAAACAGTTACTTTAATTAATTTTTTGTTAATTTTGGCCCATATTCAAGAAAAAAGCTACTTTGTTTGTTTGAAAGTTTGTAGTCTGATGAGTCTGCTCATTGTCTGAATGTAGAACAGGGTATTGATAAGGTAGTATTCATTCTCATATTAGACTTATGCTTTGATGTTGTTATTTGTTTATTTAACACTATATGTTCTTGCAGTCTACTGACAGTAAAAATACAAGGTCCCTGCCTTGACTGTCTTACAGTATAAATCTGACAAATAGCATAGTGAAAAATGGCAACAGATCAAAGAGAAAGAAAGCAGAAAACAAAGGAAAAGGAAAGCTTGCTTATAAAGAATATTATTTTCAAGGATTCAGCATTTTTTTGTTTCATGATTTTAATTAATTTAATTTTTCAAATGTATTTACATGTTATAGAGGAGGCAAATAATTACAGAGAAGAGATTAATGATATCATGTTGGCAAAGTTGGTAAGATTTGAGGGAGCATTTAGAGGAGAAAGAGCATGTAAGTAGATGTTTATAGTGTCATCGTGAGATTAGTATTGCAATGAGAAGAAATCATGGAAGGGAGGGAGGAGTGCACAAAGTTAAAAGTTTAATAGCAGGAGA